TACTTAACATTGTTTTCATGTTTGTGAACGATGTTACTATACTTAACATTGTTATTCATGTTTTTAGGTTTAGTAACATCGTTCACTAGTAACATCGTTCACAAACATGAATAACAATGTTAGGTTTAGTGGCATCGTTCACAAACATGGATAACAGTGTCTTCTTTATACCATCTTTACGTTTCACGTGTGTTCCTGATTAGCTTCTTTATAACATCCTTATGTTTCACGTGTGTTCCTGGTTAGCCTTATTATACCATCTTTATGTTTCACGTGTGTTCCTGGTTGGACTCTTTATACCATCTTTACGTATCACGTGTGTTCCTGATTAGCTTCTTTATACCATCTTTATGTTTCACGTGTGTTCCTGATTAGCCTCTTTATACCATCTTTATGTTTCACGTGTGTTCCTGATCAGCCTCTTTATATCATCTTTATATTTCACGTGTGTTCCTGGTTAGCCTCTTTATACCATCTTTACGTATCACGTGTGTTCCCGATTAGCCTCTTTATATCATCTTTATGTTTCACGTGTGTTCCTGATTAGCCTCTTTATACCATCTTTATGTTTCACGTGTGTTCCAGATTAGCCTCTTCAAGTCTTTGTTTCATACATGTTTCTGATTTCACACCTTTGTGTTTCACACACGTTCCTGGTTAGCCTCTTTACACAGTATATTTCACACGTGTTCCTGATTAGCTTCTCTCACCTTTCTATTTCATACATATTCCTCAATTAGTAACCTCATCAAGCATTATTTGTTTCGTAGCGTTCCTATTAGCCCCTTCACATCTTTATGTTTCAATTTTTTTATTTTAAGTACATCTATGAAATTAGTTATAATTAACTAGTTTTAATTAAAATAGCGCTTCATTTTCAACATATCGGTTCATGAAAAAAAAATGTAATGTAAAAATTGTATACCTGGATTTCAATAAACTGTGCGAATACTTCGTTCTAATTGGATAATAATGTCTGATCATTCACAAGTTTGTTTTAAGCACACATATTAAACTTTTCAATCCCTGCTGACTGCATTCAAAAAATATTTACGTATTTATAAATGAAAGAAGCACAGAAAAACGTAATTTGTTAGTTGTGAGAAAGCAAGCTTCATAGTTCGTTTACAACAACATTTCCATTAAGAACTACATTTTATCGCGTAATGAAACAGTTCATTACACAGTGTTGTCATGCTGTGTGTTGTGTCAAATATGAAGTATACAGTAAAAAATATATTCAAAGGCAAATGTTTTCTCGTGAAAACACCTCGTAACTGCACTTTAACACAATTCCTGATTAGCCGAGATTATCTTTTAATTATAGCACTGGCACTAAATGTAAGATACACAGAATACTGGCAGATCTATCTTTCATTCGTGATCCTCATGATAGAGGGCGCATAGTGGCAGAGTTGCGAGCTGAGCAATCGATGGTGCGGACCTCGCGGTAAATTATGCAGCCTACCGCGTGCTTTTTTAGTATATATATATATATATATATATATATATATATTTGTTGTGGCGTACCTTCCCATGTGTAGAGTTAACTGTCAAAGTGTGCAGTGGGACTCTTCGGCCAAGTTCTGTGTAAAAGTTATTCGTGTAAACACATTTGCTCAGTTCTCCCAGGTCCAACTTGAGTCGTGAAGAGATTTCGTAAACTTTAATCACAGCCAAGACTTGTAAGTTGTATCCATCAGATCAATACTCAAAGACAGTATGAAAGTTAAGAAAAAACATCGCTCCGGCGCGTTCATTCCCTTCGAGTTTCACGACGGACTTGCTTTGTGGAATAAAGAGGAAAGTTCGAACATTGAAGGCGTTAAGTAATTTAGGGTTACAGCATATCTGCTAAAAGTTATGGCGATCAAGTACCAGTTTTTTAACAATAATAATTTTTAGTACAAACTGTCAACTAAATTATTTTTTTTCACTACTTGAATGTTGAGTAACCCAGAAAAATAACGAAGAAAAAGTAGCCTTATTCAGAATGTTTCTTGGAACTCGAAGCATATAGCTAAAAATTAGTAAAGAACCTTGATATTTTTATTAAAATATACTAATACAACAGTTAAAACCTACCCTATCAGAATGTCATTGAAATGTTTGAAATTTCTTGAACGTTATATTTCTGTGAAGGAGGAAAGAGAAAGTTTACAGTTTCTGATAAAATGTTTGATTAATTAAGATTGGTTTTAATGATAACATTATCTCCAACCCTAATGCCCGTTCACTATACGTATAATTCCTACAAACAACTGTCGTTAACGTACTGAATAATTTTAGTTTCTAACCCTAATGCCCATTCACTATACGTATAATTCTTACATCAAACAACTGTATACTCGTTAACGTACTGAATAATTTTAGTTTCTAACCCTAATGCCCGTTCACTATACGTATAATTCTTACATTAAACAACTGTATGCTCGTGAACGTACTGAATAATTTCAGTTTCTAACCCTAATGCCCATTCACTATACGTTACCGTACTAAATAACTAAAGTATATCACGGTTTTAAAATTATGATAAAGGTGTTTATATCTGCATGTAATATTTCAGGTAATTATTACAGTTTAACTGGGAAAGAAAGTCGAGATATAAAACGTAGAAGTTATATAACAAGTGTCTTTACATCAAAATTAGATTTTCATGTTAA